CTAAACTACTAATACTTGTAGAAGCTAATGCCTTAGACTACATAGTAGCAGGAGTTCTCTTCTAGACTAAGCTAGATAGCACTATTAAGCCTATTACATACTTTTTAAAAAGAATAAGTCCTGTAGAAGGTAATTATAAAATCTATAATAAGAAATTACTTGCTATAGTATGCTGCTTTAAATAATAGCAACCTAAACTAGAAGGTGCAGCGCATCTAATACAGGTTCTATCTAACTATAAGAACTTGCAGTACTTTATAACTATAAAACAACTTAGCTACTAATAAGCCTATTAGTCTAAATACCTATTTTATTTTAATTTTAAGATTACTTATTATTCTAGTTAAAATAGAGAGAAACTAGATACCTTTATAAGGTAATTCTAAGACATCTTTACTTAGAAAGAAGTGTAAAAAGCTTAACACTAAACTTTACTTTAACTTAAGCTATTTTTAGACCTTAACCTAAATAAAATAAATTAGATAATTAATTAAATTATTACTAATAAGTATCTAAATAATAAATTTATCTAAAAAACTTTAAACCTACTCTAAAACAGCACTAGTTAGTTAAAAAAAGTAACACTAGCTAACTATAAAAACTAAAATAGTAAGCTATATTACTATAACTAACTTATAATTTTTAATTCTAACAAACTAAAAATTAAACTACTCTAAATTATACATAACTTACCTATTAGAGAACACCTAGGCAGAGGAAAGACTTTTAACCTACTACAAAGAGAGTACTACTAGCCCCGCATGTTCTATACTGTACACTAATACATATTATGTTGCTATACTTGCTGTAAAGTAAAGGCCTCTTAAAAAAAGTATAATAGCCTACTTAAACTACTTCTAATCTCTAAATAAGCTTAGAAAGACATATTAATTAATTTTATTATAAACCTACTTTTATTTAAAAAGTATATAAATATTATAGTAGTTGTTAATTACTTAACTAAGTATTAATACTTAATACTATGTTCCTTTATAACTGCTCCTAATATAGCCTAGTTATTCTACTAATATGTATAAGTTTACTATAGCCTGCCTAACACAATTATATTAGATAAAGGTACACAGTTTGTCTTAGCCTTCTAGAACAAACTTTATAAATAGCTCTAAATTATCTTTTATCTATCTACAGCTTTTTACCTAGAGACTAATAGCTAGACTAAGAACATAAATACTATAATAAAATAAGTCCTATAAGTGTACATAAACTACTAGTAAGATAACTAGGTAAAATAGTTAGCTACAGCATAGTTTAAAGCTAATAACATAACATTTAAATTAACATAAGTATCTTTGTTTTTAGCAAACTATAGATACTACCTCTAAATAAAATTTAAACTACTTATAAATACCCTCTAACTAACTTATTAATCTGTATAAGTAATAGATATAAATAGACTTATTAATAAAATCTAAAATATATCTAAATATGTTTATAAAAAGCTTACATAAGCTTAAGCTTTTTAATAAGAGTACATAAACTAATTCTAAACCTCTGCCCCTACGTATGCAGCTAGTAAGAAGGTCTAGCTAGACACTAGAAATATCTAAATAAACTAATAATTAAAGAAACTTAATTAAAAAAACTTTAGCTTTTTTATAGTAGCTTATATAGTCTTATTACATGCTTACTAATTAATTCTACCTAACAGCATAAAGATACACCCTGTGTTTCACGTATTATTGCTGCGCTAAGTAGCCTCTAAATTTAACTATCTACCTAAATAGCTAAACTTACTACTTAAACTTATTATTATAAATAATAAACTAAAATATGTTATAGAAGATGTTAAATAGATCTAGTTTAATAAAAAAAAATATATTTATAAATACTTTATAAAATAAACTAGATATAATAAACTGTTATAAAAACCTATAAAAGCTCTATAAAAGAACTCTACAGTAACTTAATTTTATGCTTAATACCTATCTAAACTAAACCTATACTCTAATAAAGACAACCTAATGCTAGAACTACTAATGTAAAGGATTCCCTTTTTAATAAAGGGGAAGGTACTGTTACAGTATCCTCTCTAAATTCTAGACATAACTATATTAGACATGTACTAGAGTATTATTAGTGCACGTCTAACATAAACATAACATAATATAGATATAAACTTAAGTATAAACTACCTTAACACTAACTAAACTTAAAATAGGCTTAATTTATACTTAAAGCGCTTAGACTTTTAAGCTAAGTATTTAATTACTAATTTTTTTTTAAACTTTTCTATTCCTCACACAACGTCTTGTACCTACTATAATACCTTACGTAGTAATTAAACTAGACCTCTGTGAAGCTCTATAACCTTACTCGTGCACAATCGTGACAGCGCTAGACAACCTTTACAAGCTAATTCTACAGCTAAATTACAGAGGCTAGGCAATAAAAAGGA